ATCATGGAAGTGTTGCAGCCTAGAAGACACAAATTTAACTAACAAGTTAAAAGTACATGAGTCAAAAATTAAAAAGCATTAATACTCCAAGTAGAGGCTCTAATAGCGGCACAAATCAAGTTACAGAGGGAAGGTAGTTCTTACAATGAAAGGCCTATTGACTAGCACTTTGTCTATTATAGTATAAAGGTTAAGAACCACAAGATGTTGCTCAACTATGTCATTTATTGTTCTTAAGCCCTGGAAAAAATTTCATCTACAACTGGATTGTTTTACAACTCAGAAGTCGATTTTAATTTTTTTAAAGAAAAACCCGATCCGCTAGTAAAGTAGGCAAGGTCTAGCATAAAGACTAAAACATCTGTTTTCAGGGTTTGGACAAAGCAGAAAAGCGCGGGAAAATAATGTACTAAAGAAAGGGCGGTTTGAGAGGCAACGCAACACGCCAATGAACGAAACCAAAGCCGCGCCGTGTAGCCCAGTCGCCCGCATGCGCAGGCACACGCCGCGTGATCTCGCGGGAAAGGACCGTTGCCCATCCTGGCGTTGCGCGGAGGTAGGGCGGGGTGGAGGCGGGAGTGAAGTCTCGCGAGAGGAGGTGGTTGCCGTAGCGGAGCCCTCTGGCTGTGTGTCTGGAGCCTCTGCAGGACGTGAGGAGCGTTTGCGGAGCCCGTTAGTGCCCGTGGGTGAGCTTCAACTCGCCGACATGTCCCGCTACCTACGTCCCCCCAACACGTCTCTGTTCGTGAGGAACGTGGCTGACGACACCAGGTATGAAGAAAGGAAGTACACCGGGTATATACTGGGGTGGAGGGGAGGCCGCAGAAGCCCGAAAAGGAACGGAGCGGCGACAGCAGCGTTAGGCCTGGGGTAGAGGAGGGATGAAGATGGCGGGTCCCGCCCCGGTTTGGCGCCCGAACTAGGCCTCGCTGCCGGCCACAAGTGCCGCGTGGGAGCGAGGGAGCTCCGGGCCCATGCGGGCCGCCTCCGGGAGCGCGCGGGCCGCGTGGCGGCCGTTTGGAGTCCCCTCCCCCTCGCACCCGGGCCCCTTCCTCCCCCTCCTCCTCCTCGCAGCCCCCGCCACGGCCTTTGCGCGCGCCAACTCCTAGCCCCATTGATTTGAAGTTCGCATTCTTCGGGGTACACGCCCCCTCGACCCAGAGATTTCTTTTTCCTTACAAGGGGGGGGGGGAGCGCCTTCCATTGGAATAACGGGATCGAAGGGAAAGGATTATGGTTGGAAGCATTTGGTCTTTCAAAACGGGGTGGGTTTTTTTTTTTTTTTCTTTAGCTCTTGGGAATGTCGACATTCAGGAAATAACATTTTTCCATTTGCATTGTGCAGAGTAGTCCTTCACGTTTTTTGGAATTTGGGTCGTTTGAGAAGTGGGTTTTAGGAAATCTCTTCCATCAGGACGTTGATAACTGGATTGATCCGTCCACCCTTTAAATAGGCTTTTGTTCCCCCATCATTTCCCTTAATTGTTCCAAATTGCCCTAATATTTCGGGAAACTATCAAAATAGCCTCTTATTTCACTAATTATCAGTCCTTTGTTGCTTGGTTGTAGCCATTGTGTAACCGCGAGGTTTGTATGTATGTGTGGTTGTTGGGTTTTTTTGGTCCTGACTTGTAAGGGAGAAAGAAAGCAGTAGTAATTATTTTAATAGCTAGACATTTTGACCTTATTTAAAAGATTGTATATGATACTGGCTTTTATTTTTACCAATAATGGCCACGTATTGTCTTCACCCCATCAAGAAAATATTGGGGAAACAAAATAAAAAGTATGATGTTTTTTCACAGTTGTAGAGTTTTGATAATTTTAGAGAGAACAAAAACATTAGCAGTAGACACTTGTTACAACTCTCTGGGGGGGAGTTATAAGTTTGTTAACGTAAAATACTAATAGATTTCATTTTAAACTGCTTATTATCTTCCAAGTTGCCTAGTCGGAACCCCCAGCAGGTTTTCAGGATGCTCTAAATAGTTCGGGAGATTGGCCATCTTTCTCCTTCAAAGCCCCTGGTGGATTCCAATCGTGCAAGAGCCAGTTTTTGGATTAGCAGCGAAACTCCATACAGAGTACATCACCCTCTTGAGCCCTATGGTTTAAGGAATCCTAGTGGTGTGGTTAAAGCACTTACTTAGCAGGCACCCAAAAGGTAGGCTGTTCAAGCCCACTTTGGTAGAAAGATTTGCAGTCTTGCCTCCCTTATAAGAGTGTGAACCCTTCTTGGGCATTTGTGTCCTATAGTGTTACTTTGCATTGGAATCACCTAGGTGGCAGGAAAGCTTTCTCTGGTGGCTTGGTGGTAAGGAATTGCATTACCAGTGCAGAAGTCCACAATTTTAATCCAACAGCTGCACCAGGGGGAAATGATGGGCAAACCCCAGGCAATTTACTGCCACAAAGATCCAGCTGGAAGTTCAGCTATGGATTAGGTCTAACTGGATGGTACACAATAAGATGGCAGGGGGTTTAGTTTGGGGATTGGGAGAGCGTTTGGTTGGTTATATTGTGATTTAGGTGGTTTCTCTTTTATTTCGAGACACCCAGGAACTTGACTGAGACGCACCTATTTGTGAGACCTCAGTCACATTCTGAATTTTATTAGAACGATCCCTTTCTAAGCTCTCTATTTACGCTGCTTAATTGTGTTTCTGCATAAATATCTTTAAAGCTGGCAATATTAACGCAATGTGATGAGCCTGAAGGATAATTGAAATCATTAAGGTCCCTGAGAATGGCTACATTTTGTTTAAAAAGAGAGGGGGGAAAATTGCTTCATTGATTGCCATATTATAGATGCTTATCTCTTAAAAGGACATCTTTTGGGGTCATGAACATAAAGTTTTGGGATCTTTTTATGATGTTTTAGGTCTGAAGATTTACGTCGGGAATTTGGTCGCTATGGTCCTATAGTTGATGTATATGTTCCACTTGATTTCTACACTCGACGTCCAAGAGGATTTGCTTATGTTCAATATCCTTTCTTCAGATGGCTGATTAGTGAGGGGTGTTGAAGTTTGAAATTCAAGTTTATGTAAGAGGTAACATCTAAAAAGTAGTTTGTTTTTATCCTGTAATGTCTTGTGTCTTCCGATTTTTTAAAAAAATTCTGACTCACATTACTCTATTCCTTTAATCTAAAATTAGTATAATAGTATTTAAATTCCCATTCATACTGCTGAATCTCAAACCAGTGATTATTTGTGATTTAAATTTTAATAACATTCTGGTTGCTACGACTTTGACTATAAATCAGATTAAAAGTTAATGTGTTCTTGTGCATAACTATATAAAGTTTGGTATTCTTGTTTGTTAATTTGAATCACTTGATCAAAAACAAATTGTATAACAATGAGGTAAACTTCTTTAATATTGTCCCCTAATTTGCTGTCCTCTGTTGTTACCTCAGAATGTAAAGCTGTACAGTTATGGCGACCCCAAAGAGAAAGCATGAAAGAACCTTTAGAGTAGAGTTCAACACTTAAGGCAAGTAGACAAGCCAAAGACCTCTTAAGGATCAGGCTTGAAGAGAAGGGAAAGTTTGGGAAAAGAAAAAATAAAGAAAAGCTGGAAGAAGGACAAGCCTAATGGGAGACAAAGCCTCGCTTTATCTACAAAAGGGGGAAAAGGTTGTTTTTCAAAGTTAAAGATAAAGCCTTCTGTCATATTTGGCCGAGCATCTCATGACAAGTCCTTCTGACAAGCACTTAAAGAGTTAAAGGTCAAGATGAAGTTGAATGATGGCCAAGATTAAAGGAATCATACCTGATGTATCCTACAGAATAACTTTTCCTTTTTTCTTTTTTTTTTAAATTTTTATATTTTGTAAGCAGTTAACTTTCAAAATTATTCTGGTTTGGTCTAGTGACAAAACCTGTAACTTGATTGTGGGCCTTTGATGTTGTAATTGTGGTCTTGGTATAAATGCACAGTCTTAGCTTGCCAAGTTAAAGTGTAGCAGGATGCAATACTGTTAAGCTTAAACTCAACATAGTTCTCTGGGCCAATGGTAAGATGCCATAGGGTAGCAGTCAGTACTCTTTCTAGGGTAACGTGAGCTGCTGGGGTCAGACCAACTCCACAGAACTGTACTTAAAGGGGAGACAGGTGCATGCCCTTAGTAGATACTGCTATGAGCTGCTTGGGTCAGACCAACTACGCAGAACTGTACTTAAAGAGGATACAGGTTTAAGTTGGTACTGCTTAGAAATAGCTCTGGTGATCTGCAAGGTCAAATTCACTAGAAATCCTTTCTATAGATAGATTTTGAAGTAGTCCCTTCAGGCACACACAGGTTCTACATTTCCGAGATTTGGTCTCTGAAGCCTGCTGGCTACAGTGCTCTAGCTGATCATGAATGTGTCTGAAGGCTAGCCTCCCTAGTGTGAGTACCTAATAGGTGTGTTTAGGAAATTGCCGCTTGACCCAGAGTTTCAGGTGATGATATTTTTTGCCCCCTCTGGAGATTATTTTGCAACAAGGTTGGGTGGTGGACTTCAAGCTAGAAAATTCATAGTTAAATTAATTGAATGTCTTGACACTTTGAGTTAACTGAATCCACATAAAGCCCTGATCTGAAAGGCCAAAAGCTGCTCCTGCAGAACCAGGTATCAATGATAGTGTGTAAACTGGTTGCAAAGCTTTTTCAGAAAAAAATAAGAGCAGTAGATGACCTGGCAAATAAAGTCATTACTTTAAAATGGGCTGTGGTGAATTGGGAACCAGTAGTCTGGCATATAGGCTAACTTGAGCCAGGAATGGATCGTCACTTAAAAGATTCAGAAGGAGAGATAATTTTATGCGTCCTCACACCGTAAGTCTGTGGTTTTAAAATACTGTAGGTGGCAGGATTACCCGTTTTGGTTTTGCAAAAACCCTGAAGTGTGTATTTTGCCATGGCTGACATCTTTGTGTATTTGACTGTCAACTCTCCCTTTTACTTCTTAAAGTTCGCCTCTTCATCCTGTCTCAGGATTAGAGTACAACTTTGCCATGGTGTCTGTGGTCCAGTATTCTGTTCTTGAAGGCAGCACCAGAGGAAGAGTTTGTTAACCTTATTAATTTTTATAATTCTCTTGAACTAAACTCTTTCATATACAGTATATGAGAACATACTATATTCTCCTGCTTGGGGTCGAAAAGATAAAGTGGTAAACCCCAGTAAATGGACCTCCAATTATTTTATAAAACCCAGTTACATTTGCCTTGAGTGGTTAAAGCATTCACCATTCTAAACTCCTTTGCTCTTTTTAGAACCATCAGTTTTATTTTCTCTTAATTTAAGAAATAGAAATGGGTAAGTTACAACAATGGTTTTTAAGATAGAATGAAGAGTGCACCTAAATATAATAACCTGACTACCTTTCCTAAACTGTCCTGTCCTTCCTGCGTGTACTTGGCTTCTGTCAAGTGTGTGACGAGTTAAGTTTGACAAAGTAATTATTTAAAGCCAGCGCCCCATAGTCATTACTGATGTTAAGAGAGGAAGAGTTTGACAAAGTAAGGCAGCTTAGATTCTTGATTCTGTAATAGGTACTATCAGTTCCTGCTTAGGCTAATAAATATTATCTTGGAATTCTCAAGATTGTATCCACTACCAGCCAACCCTTTGCAGGAAGCTATGATTAAGGCTTTCTGGTCTGGAATTCCTTAGAGTACTCTTACTTGGATGACATGCTTTATAGTCTGCATGCTTTCAATGTAGTAATTGTCTTAATCATTGCTTGATGACTGTCTTAATACTCGCAAATGGCTAACGTGTGATGCAAGGAAGACAAATACATAATATCATACTGTTAGATGTGTATGAGAAAACAATGAAATTGATTTGGTGTTAATGTGCTTTTGTCATGTCAGCTATAGTCTGCTTACTTCCACAAGAACTTTTGACATTTAAGAAAAATAGTATCTTAGTATTAATAAACTCTGTTAGCATTTATTGTAGAACTGGCTATCTCCCCTTGTAGTTACTCTTAAAACTCAGTCATATGTAACTGTACTCTGATTTTGATGTACTTGGTGATTCAGCTATAACAGATCTTATTTTAATAATATCTAAATGTGTACTCCATTTGTTTTAAAATCTTAAATGCCTTAGGAAATGAGTCATGAAGTCTTTATAGCTGAGTGTACCAACTAGTAAGTGGGATCTGGTTCATTTTCTAACATAATGTTGGGATATTGTGAGTTGTTCCAGACTCACTACCTGAATGCACTCATCACCCATTCATTATCAAAGTTTGCAAAATTTCCCAAGCCCCTTAACATTTAGCACATTTGAGGATGTTCGTGATGCTGAAGATGCTTTACATAACTTGGACAGAAAATGGATTTGTGGACGTCAAATTGAAATCCAGTTTGCACAGGGTGATAGGAAGAGTAAGTACCCTTAATATGTAATGTACATTGAATCATTTCTTAACCATATCTTGCTTTGTGATTTCTTGGAAATACTTGAACTATTTATCTGTTCAAAATCCCAGACTTGTTTTTGAGAAGGTGGAGAATTTTGCTTTGCTTTTCTGAACTATTCAGCGTAAACAAATGGCAATGGCTGAGCTACTTGAACTGCAACGAAAGTTGATCAGTACTTAAGCTGTGGCCTGCCTATTGGTAAGAAGCAGCACTGCAATCCTGAAGGCACATGGTTTGAATCCACCAACTATTCCACATGAGAAGGAGCAAAGATCTTCCATGTGGTATACTGCCTCTTGAAACCTGCTGGATGGTCAGCTGTGGGTCAGTTCTGATTTGATGGTATACAACAACATAAATTAGAAGGAATAAAACTTGGAACATTTATGTTCTCTTCATGCTTGCCTACAGAGTATAATTGAATCTTATGGATGTGGAAATAATTAGCCTGTTGTGTACCATTAAGTCGGAACTCATAGCTGACTCTGTAGTGAGTTTTTTGAGGTAGTAAATTGCATGGAAAAAGATCACTCATCTTTCTCCACATAGCAGCTGGTGGATTCATACCACTTACCTTTAAGTTGGCAGTGTCGCTTCTTGGCGCTGAACCACCAAAGCTCCCTAGATTAGACTGGGAGAACAATGTAAGTTAAACCTAGAATAGATTTTATATTAGTATTTCACCTCTCGTGTGTGAGCGTATGCGCGCACACACACAAATGCCAAATGTTTTGCTGTATATTGATGAGCCTGTTTAAAGGTCTTTGGGGTCAAATAGATCTGAGTTTGAATTTTCACTCATCCATGAGCTATGTTATGTTAGCCAAGTTACAAAATGAGTGATTTTTAAAGCTGCTTGAGGAGAGGAAGCTACATTTATGTGGATACAACTGTTGATAATTCCATAGTTCGTGGTTGAGGGAAAGTTTCTTGCACAACACACTGCTGCTTGTTACGTACCCTCAATTTGAGTAAGACTCATGACGACCCTGTGAACAAAAATCTGAACCCTGTCCTATCCTGTGCCATCTTCATCATCTCTGACATACTTGAGCTCACTGCTGCAGTCCCTGTCAATTCATCTCATTGAGGGCTTCCACTCTTGCACTCACCCTCCGAGCATGATGACCCTTCTAGTAACATTACGTATAGGATATTAGTAAAAATTTTTATTGTGTTCTTGCATTTTCTTAGATTGCTTTCCAAGCAAAATTTTAGAGAGTAAATAACTAAAAGTTTTTAATATTTTTAAATACTTGTTTTATTTCATAGCACCAAATCAAATGAAAGCCAAGGAAGGGAGGAATGTGTACAGTTCTTCACGCTATGATGATTATGACAGATATAGACGTTCTAGAAGCCGAAGTTATGAAAGAAGGAGATCAAGAAGTCGGTCTTTTGATTACAACTATAGACGATCTTATAGTCCAAGAAAGTAAGTGTGATGTATAAACAATGATTTATTAGAAAAAGTACGTTAATTTTTTTTTAATCCATTTGAATACTTTTCATTATATACATCAAATGTTTCATTGGACTAAAGATGTTTTTATGTTTAATTTTAAAGTTTTACAGTTCACTTTTTTTGTTAGCTAGAAACTTAAAGAATATTTGTAAATGGATATTTGTCACTTTACTTTTTTTTGATATACTTTTTAGCAGTAGACCGACTGGAAGACCACGACGTAGCAGAAGCCATTCCGACAATGATAGGTAAATAACTTTGTTTTGAAAAAGACCTATGTATTTTTCAATTTCAGAGTGAACTTTGCTCTTAAAAAAGACATTTGATTAATATAGAATCTAATTTTTACTCTAATTGTATCTCTCCTCTGTTTTGAAAGATTCAAACACCGAAATCGATCTTTTTCAAGATCTAAATCCAATTCAAGATCACGGTCCAAGTCCCAGCCCAAGAAAGAAATGAAGGCTAAATCACGTTCTAGGTCTGCATCTCACACCAAAACTAGAGGCACCTCTAAAACAGATT